TTTTATTAAAATTTCTGATTGCGGACTTTCGAGGGATTCAGAATTGTGTATTCTATTTTTAACTTACAACCATTACTAGAGGTAAAAGGCCAGACACTCTCTCTCTCTCTCTCTCTCTTTCTCTCTCTTTCTCTCTCTCTCACACTATAGTCTTTCGCGTTCCGCGGTTTCTCGTGTACTGCGATGCCTTTCAGAGCTTTCAGGGCTTTCAGAAATATACGTAGAGCGTATAAACGCCGAACGTTTTATACGCCAAGTGTCGCGCGAGCATAATCCCGTCCAATTAGTGATAATTACGGCGGACATATAATTAAGAATTCCTAATGGCGGGCATATTCCTGATAGGTTTGTTTTACCTATACCCGTGTTTGTTTTTTTTTTTTTTTTGCAAACGGCTAATTCAGGACGCAAATTAAATTCGTGCTTCGCTTATAACGATGACGACCGGTTCGCTCAGATAACTGGAAAGATTCTACGTCCCTTTTCTCGTCTCGAACGTCGCATCGTCGTTTCTTGGGATTTCCTCCGGCCGCAATCACAATCACGAAAAACGGCAATTTTACCGCGCTTCAGTATAAAACTCGAGCTAATTTTCCGCTTGGGCGTTATTCGGTCGCCACTATTCCGAGTTATATTCGGCGCTGGGGAGGATTAACGTATAAATTGGTTAATAATTCAGTGCATTGGTTTACAATCTATATCGTGTTGGCATTAGCGCTAAACCTGCTAACAATGATCGTTTTGTTCAACGCTATGAATAATTCTCTCCCCGGTTCGTATGTGTATTACGTGGTTGACATTAAACGAACAGCTATTCACATTGCATAGTTATTTCCAGCCATCTGTTTGTCTGAGAATTTTCTTCTTGATTAAATCACAAATCGCTAATCGCTTCGCATGTGTGTATGAATCACTGCACATTCGTCACGCAACGATATCATTGTGCTGCGAATAAATTTTGCTTATTTATTCAGCGTATGACTGTCTCTAGCGAGACGTTAAATTAATATCTCGGTTTCACAACGTCGCTATCTTTGGCAGCGTCTCGCTTGTAACCGACAAAGCTGTTTCTCCGACAAAAACACGCTGTCAAAACTAATGCAGGGAATTACGCAACTCGACACGGTCGTGGGAACTATCGCCATTCGGACCGTGTTGCAGGTGCACTTGGGAATACCCGGGCGCGCCGCGATGCAGCTTAATAATTTACTTATTAATTATTAATCTCAATTTGCATATAACACGTGTGGCGCAATCACGACAATTACATTGTGCGGCACGGGCGCATTAGATCCAGCGAGTTATCGGTGTTGTTTCTTTGTGCTGCATTAATATCGTTTTACTATCTTTCCTTGTTTTAGTTATCATTTGTATTATGACAATCAGTTTAAGCTGAAATTATAAATTCCTTGTCAATTGCGACTTTAATCAATTAACAGGATTGATGTAAATTATTAAATAGAAGCGAAACTCAATTATTATAGAATAATGTAAAAGCGATAAGAAAAAGGAAATATGGACGAAGCTTAAATTAAACGAAAATCAATTTTAAGAAACTAAAAATATAGCTTTAATAACTCAACAGTGAGAGTGTAAGGGCAGGCGGGGGTTGACGTTGGTACCTCGACGAATGAGGTCATTTGTAGACACGAGCATTACACAGCCCGGTCGGCGGGTGGCGAAAGGGATGCGTGGGGGGCAGTTTGCAGACGGTGATTTAAAGGTCTATCGAGCGATGATGCCTTAAGATTACTTACTCGCAGGAACATAATTTTCCGACCCCCGGCTGCGTCTTCATGCCGTAATTTACGGAAACGTGCTGGCAACATGTTAAGAATGTCGCTTCCCTTGCTATGCACGCGAGGAACTTTACCTTAATCGGAATGAGACAGTCTCGATTTGCGAATTTCAAAATCTTTAGATGAATGAGGAATTTATGTCCGTTTATTTTTATTATTATATTTCATTACTATTCAACTTATATAAAAGATGCATGCGAGAAATTAAAAGACTAAATTAATATTTGAAAAATATTACGCGTTTGATTCGCTTCTGTTTACTTGCTTCTGTGATTTTTTTAGAAAATTATTTTGCTCAATCAATGATTTTTGTACAATCAGAGCTCTCCTGCGCTTAATCTCGTGTTACACGGAGATCAAAATGTAATGTTATACGTAACTGTGCCTGAAGCAAACTCCTTTTTTGATTAGGCAAACTTAATACGTCGGTTCTAACATTCCGGTCCCTCCGCTATGTATCGAGTTGCACGATTCGCAATTATGCATTCATCGCGGTACCATGCGTTATTCAATGCGATATTGAATATCGCGTTACCAAACAAAACATTGCGGAATATCGGGATTTCCTCGAGTAATTGGAAGGCTTGTTACCGAAACTATTACCGCGATCACATTATAATTACACTCTCTGTGCTCAGCGCCGCATTACAGGTTTATCATAATTTCGTATACACAATGTAAATAGAAAATCTTTTAATTCAACCTAACCGTTATTAACTTGCATTATTAACCTGTCATTAACTTGGCGCTCGCGAAACCTTAATTATCCGTTATTTACTTAGCGCTCGGAGAGCACTTGAGTGTGTGTTGGTGTATTTGGAAAATCCAATCGCAGTCTTAACAACATTGCATTATGTGTTATAACAGTTCAAATAATGCACGTAATTCCATATATAATTTACTGTTCTCTCAGATTTCTGATCCGATAAATTTTCTTCACGGACCTTTTATTCTTATTTCTGCAGATTTTTTTATTTCATTGATTTTACAATCCAACATAAATTTACATTGCAGTATTTAGCACAATTTCGCGAATTTCTTTCAGTTTCCATTCGATACAAAGTTCCAGCATCTTTATTCCACTTTATAAATGAACTAACGATTCACTTGGGACGTTAGAGATACCGAAGAAGGACAGGGGTCGAGTGTATGGCGTTAGTCGAGATAGGGGCGGGGATCGTCGGCGATAGAACGGCGTATCGAACTTTTGGCAACTCGTAACTATCGACCGGTCGCAGCTTGGATGGCGTCCAGCCTCGACATCCGGGGGATACGGAAGATCCTTGATGAGGTCCCCGAGAGCCGACTTCACTCTTTACCCTCCGATCGTCTCTCCCGTATCGAACCTGTCACCGGCGGCGCGAACTCCACGACCATTCGTGTCTATCATAGAGTTTCTTGGTGGGAGCCGCATCGGGTATGATGACCCGGAGTGCGGAACTTTTCATTCGCTTACTGCCAGAAAGTGGCAACATGTTCCGATAACTTTTGTATCTTTCTTCCTCTTTTTTTTTTTTTGCTCAGGCAGATTACAAAAATTCCGCAGCATTGGAGCGGAAACTCGTAAATTAGTCTGTCGATAAACGACGTAAACCATCGACTGTGAAATAAATTGACGTAATTCTGTAACATTAGCCTCGGTAGCCTATATGAAGTTAGCCCCCCATTTTTCGATTTTGAATATTTTTTTAGTTGTTCCAGGTTGTTCTACGTTTGTTCTATATTGTTCCAAAGTTATGAACAAAAAAATCGAAAAACATGACGGGAAAAGCAAAAAAACGATTTATTTTTGTGGCCACCCATTTTTTTTTAAATTCAAATTTTTTTGCTGTTCTGGATTGTTCTAATTGTTCTAAACATTGTTCTAAAATATTAATCCCCCTAAAAAAGAATTTAAAAAGATATAGCAAAAAATAGCATTAAGCGTCCAAATAGTATTTTTACATTTATCGCTATTATTATATTATGTTTTGACACCAAATTACATATTTAAGCTAAAAACGAATAGAACAACCCAGAACAACTCTCAGTTTCACCAGAACAAACATATAAAAGGCACTTTACTCTTGAAGGTAGAGAATTATTTTGTCTTTTTCGACCGATAATGTTACATCAGCGACACTAAAACCTAGAACAATGAGAAATAGACACAGAACAATCCGGAACAACTCTCAGTTTTGTCAGAACAAACGTTTA